TTATAAGTAACTAAGACTTTTTTCTTATAATATAAAATTAAATACTGCTATAATATAATTCTTATTTTTAAATATTATCAAAAAAAATTTATTTAAATATATTAAAATTTAAAAACAGTAAATCATAACTATATTTATAATAATTTTTCAGGCAAATTTGTCTGAAAAAGCCTACAGTTTAAGAGATAGCATTTTAGTACTATAGCATTATAGCACTATTTTTTATAATATAAAAATAAATTTAACTAAGAGAAAATCACTAGTTACACAGATCAATCATGCATTTTTATATTAATTCTGCATTTTTTTTTTACTAAGTATTTACTTTTTTCTTTTTTATAGTATTACCTCATTGTTAGTATCGTAATTATTGTTGTTTTGTTTTTGCTAGTTTGTATCATAGATACTATAATTAGTATTGTAATTTGTTGTAATTAATATCATTTATTATATTCAGTTTAGCTAGTATCGTGTCATTTATGTTTACAGATGACATATTGTTGTTTATTAATGCTTTCAATTCTCTTGTATTGTCATTTTGCTAGTTGATATTAAATGATGCTTTGCTTTTTTGATGCTTTGCTAAAACTTTGCTTTTACTAGTACTGGTTTCTAGTATTTGCTTTTTTGCTAGAACTTCACTTTTTGGTATATTGCTTGCTGCTGTCTTGCCTTTTTGATATTTTACTTTTTGGTGCTTTGCTTTGCTCTTTTGCTAGAACTTCACTTTACTAATACTTCACTTGCTGCTGTTTTGCCTTTCTGATATTTTACTTTTTTGGTGTTTTGCTTTGCTCTTTTGCTAGAACTTTACTTTTACTAAAACTCAATTTACTGCTACTTCACCTTTAGTACTTGCTTGTGCTCTTTTGCTAGGATTCGCTAGTATTGTATCGTGTTGCTAAATTGTTTAAATAAGTATTGTTTTTTTTTTACCTATATTATTTCTTTATTTTATTAACCTGAATGCTTTCAATTTTTTTGTATCATTGTTTTGTTAGTAATATTAAGTAGTGCTTGTTTTGCTTTGTTTTTTGTTAAAACTTTGCTTTTACTGATACTGGTGCTTTACTTTTCTGGTATTTGCTTTTTTGCTAGAATTTCGTTTTGCTGGTACTTCAATTTGCTACTACTCTGCCTTTCTGATACTTTGCTTTTTGGTACTTTGCTTTGCTCTTTTCATGCTTTGCTTTGCTCTTTTTGTGTTTTGTTTTGTTTTTGGTATTTTGCTTTGCTCTTTTGCTAGGATTTCACTTTTACTAGTACTCAATTTGCGCTGCTTTGCTTTTTCAGTACTTGTTTGTACTCTTTTGCTGGAACTCATTGATGTTTGCATTGCATTGCTAGGTTGTTTAGATAAGTATTATTTTTTTTTGTTGCCTATGTTACTTTATTTTGCTAATCAGTCTCTTTTT